AAATTTACATACAAGGAATAAAAGAAGGTAATCTACATACAAGGGAAATTGCCTTTTTACTTAAAAAAAAAAAAAAAAAAAAAAAAAAACTGAAAGTTATAGAGATAAAACCACTTTTGATTTTTTGATCTTTAATCATTGAAAAAATTAAACATTACCCCAAAATTGGTTAATTTTAAGAAATTTAAAAAAAAAATGGTTTAGGAAACACATAACTTAAATGAAAATAAATAATTAATAGTAGTTAAACTGTTCAATAGTTTCTTTATTTGGTTTAAAACTGTTGTTTCTTTATCCCATGGGAGAATTTTTTTCTATTTTGTAATGAATATGGGATAAATCCCACATTTATAAAGAGATGGGAGATTATCTTCTATATACAAGTATATGGGAGATTTTGTCCCATTATAAAGCATTCATGGGATTTTCAAACTTCTATGGGAGAAAAAATCCCACAGAATACCTTTTTCTCCCATAGAATAATGGTGGGATATTGGTTAGGAGAAAAAATCCCACCATTATCCCATGGGATTTCTTGGTTTCAGGTGTAATATCTTTTTACCTAGAAGATAATCAGGTGTAAATTTTGGTTCATGTGTTAAGTTTTAAAAAATCCCATCAGATGACATAAATGGTTTCCACATATCTTTGGAAAAGTGGTTGGCGAAAGTCCGGACAAATGTCGTGTCCGGAGTTAAATGTCGCACTGTTTAATTTTATTAATAGCGATTCTCTGTAACCACTTAAACTTCTTTGCCATGTATGGTCACCGATTTTGATGAAATTTTGCCCATTATTACAACTTGACACCAGAAACATATATCAAATAAAATTTCGTTGCTATGTGTCTTGGTTGCCATGGTAACAGCCAGAAAAGTTGAAAAAAATTGAAATTTTCAGCTACTTTGAATCTTTATTGAGCCTTAATAAAGACTAAGAAAAACAAACAAATCATTCTCCCAAAAACATGACACCTTGTTGCCACTTATGCTATAAAGAAACTATTTAGAATTTATCTCTAAGTAAGTGGTAACCATGGGTACATTTGGAATACATTTTAGATGCTATACAAAATGCTAAAAAACCCTCAATATTCACAAATGATAGATGTTACATGATCAAACTCAATCAACAACCTAAGAAAAACAATAAAAAATACTTGACCTTAAGTAATTAGGTATTGGTAATATTATTCTAAATATAACTTTCATGGTTGCCATGGTAACACAGTGTTACCATGCAAAATCTGTTGCTATGATTGGGTTAATGCTACTATCTTGAGGAAAAACAATAAAATTCATGACTGGCACATATACATCCTTAGGACCTTGCAACACTGACAACATAAGAAAAATTGGGATTAATTGTTACTTTGCAGTGTAACCATGGAAACAATGTAGTAGTTGTTTAAAGTGATATGTCTTGCTGCTTTAGGAATTTACTTAATCAAGAAACATATTATTTGACTCACCTTGAATAGTACTTATCTGGAAGAACTAAAGTTTAATATCAGATATTGATAAAGTTTGTTGAAAAATACAACACTGTTGCTTTGGTTACCAAGAAGAGAAAATGTTCGATTTTGTTAATTTTATGTCAATATCACAGGCACTTGGGGTCCGGACCCCCCCCCTTTTCCATTTTTTTTTTTTAAATATAGAGTCGATTCACCTTTTTCCTATTTTTGTATTCTAATATGCACTATATGTTATCAATAATGTAACTCTTTTGTCTCTATATGCTGTTTTTAAATATACCGTTTTCGACTGATACTTGGGGTCTGGACCCCCCCCCCCTTTCCATTTTTTTTTTTAAAATATAGAGTCGATTCACCTTTTTCCTATTTTTTATTCTAATATGCACTATATGTTATCAATAATGTAACTCTTTTGTCTCTATATGCTGTTTTTAAATATACCGTTTTCGACTGATACTTGGGGTCTGGACCCCCCCCCCTTTCCATTTTTTTTTTTAAAATATAGAGTCGATTCACCTTTTTCCTATTTTTTATTCTAATATGCACTATATGTTATCAATAATGTAACTCTTTTGTCTCTATATGCTGTTTTTAAATATACCGTTTTCGACTGATACATAAAAAGAGAGAAGGCTTGCAACTCTTTTCTCATCGTCTGCCTCACCTCGCTTAAACTTCGCCTGATTATTTATCGAAAGAATAAGAAAACATGGAATATGCATACATCAATAAATTCGTTATACATTCTTCTTTCTTTTCATATTTCCATTTAATTTTTATATGCCCCCGATTTGTAAATATTTCGATTAAATCATCCGCATCTAGGGTAAATTTTGTTGATGTGCACCAGCTGGGACGGAAGTGCCCGGTATTTTCGGGTATCATCATTACATGTAATGTAATTCGGAACATTAAATGCGAGAAGGAATACATCCCGAATTTTCTCTTCATATAACATGTAACGGTAAGTTCTGTGAATAACAAGATAACTTTAACTAGCAAATTTTAATGGATGAAGATTATACTTTAAATAGACGACCTAGACAACCAAATTCCACAATATTGTTATTACAAAGCCTGGATTTTTTTTTAATGCAGAACATTTATAAAGTTAGAGTTACCGTTATTGCACTTCCGTCCCAGCTGGTGCACATCAACAAAATTTACCCTAGATGCGGATGATTTAATCGAAAAATTTACAAATCGGGGGCACATAAAAATTAAATGGAAATATGAAAAGAAAGAAGAATGTATAACGAATTTATTGATGTATGCATATTCCATGTTTTCTTATTCTTTTGATAAATAATCAGGCGAAGTTTAAGCGAGGTGAGGCAGACGATGAGAAAAGAGTTGCAAGCCTTCTCTCTTTTTATGTATCAGTCGAAAACGGTATATTTAAAAACAGCATATAGAGACAAAAGAGTTACATTATTGATAACATATAGTGCATATTAGAATACAAAAATAGGAAAAAGGTGATTCGACTCCATATTTAAAAAGAAAAAAAAAATGGAAAAGGGGGGGGGGGGTCCAGACCCCAAGTGCCTGTGATATTGACATATGTATCAGTCGAAAACGGTATATTTAAAAACAGCATATAGAGACAAAAGAGTTACATTATTGATAACATATAGTGCATATTAGAATACAAAAATAGGAAAAAGGTGATTCGACTCCATATTTAAAAAGAAAAAAAAATGGAAAAGGGGGGGGGTCCAGACCCCAAGTGCCTGTGATATTGACATATGTATCAGTCGAAAACGGTATATTTAAAAACAGCATATAGAGACAAAAGAGTTACATTATTGATAACATATAGTGCATATTAGAATACAAAAATAGGAAAAAGGTGATTCGACTCCATATTTAAAAAGAAAAAAAAATGGAAAAGGGGGGGGGGTCCAGACCCCAAGTGCCTGTGGTCAATATTAAACCCTATGTGCCAGCTTTTTGCATCCAGTTAGAGATTGGGTGGTAGTTAAAATTGAAAGTCAGGTTAGTTGTTCATATATATATATATATCTATCATTAAAGTTTTGGGAATCTACATACAAGGGTACGTATTCAAGGAAACAGAATATTTTTCAGATTTTTATGCATGTTTTTTCGCCTTATTTCCATAGCAACGCTCTATTTAAAGAATTGAATTTGAATTTTTTGAAATGTGAAAATTAGGGTCAACACCAACGCCTTTAAAAATTGATCATCAGTTATATAGAAATATGCTTTTTTAAAAGATAGGATAAGATTAAAACACTAAGAGAGTAAATTTAAAATCCCTTCGTGGTATTAAAACCATGGCAACCATTGCCAACCTATGGGAAATATCATATTTCGTCCTTGGTATATGTTACAAGGATCTCTTGTCTATTATTTGCTTGCATTTCAACCTATAATTGTTTTTATTCTTAAGTGTATGACTTTTTAAAATTAAATGAACAAAATTATTACTTTTGAATACTTTGTTTCCATAGTAACGTATATAATAGTTGATTTACCAAACATGTTTATCAGGCATTTAAGACAACAGGCCTTCAACTTTCAGAAACAGTCATTGCCACTTGTTTGCTTTGCTGCAAACGTTAACTGTGGGACTCTGAACATGTTAAAAATGCCATTTTTTAAACTTTAGGACACGTTGCTATGGTAACCATGACACGTAGCAACCAATTTTTGCCTGATTTGAGTTTACGGTATTAAAGACTTTTATCATAGAGAGTTTGGAGAAATTCTGAGACTATGCGTGCCACAGCTTCTATATAAAAGTTCAAGTCATTACAGAGAATGGCTCTTAATTAGTAGGGTCTTGAAATCAAATGCAAAATTCTGAAGACTAATCTTCCCTATTCTCGCATCATTTCTCCTTTCTATCTTTTGAAGAAATGTCATTTATAAATTCATAGGAGTCCACTTCTGCGTTAATGATTCTTATCTGTCAGTCAAGATCAAAGGTTCATGCGAAAATTACGCGTTTATTAGCAAAAGTTTTGCGTTATAACGCGGAAAATTATTTTTTTGTTTAACCTGCCAAAATGAGCTCAATGGGCTTTTGTAGATTTTAAAGGGATTTGGTCAAACTTAAAACTTTGTGTAAATAAGTTCTTTTCCTCTGAGGAACCTCCGATTTATGCTTTCAACATTTTAAAAAGAAATCGTTAAAAGAACTTGTTTATATAAGTTTGACCAAATTTATTTTTTTTTCTTGCTTAACCACTAGGTACCTGTAATTGTGCATTTTAGAAATTTTCTCTCGGTAAGTACTTTCCTACTCTAAAATGCTTTAGATGTTATCAAATGTTTGAAAATTATGCCTTTTAGAGGTGTACCTTATAATAAGTAAATTTGGATAGTGCTTGAAGTTCGATCTTTCTTTCATGCCAACAGTACGTGTTTTATTCCAGTAAAATTCTCATATTACATATTATACATGAAATGTTAGGTATTTGGAGTTATAATTCTTTATAATTGTAATTGGGAACAAAATCAGTAGTAACCGGAGATGCTTCGGAAAACCTTTAAATTCTACGTAAGAACATTCTTGAAAGCGAAAGCAGCGAACATGCCGTTTGTGTCGGGAATTGACCATAAATATATTGCAATTGGTGCTTTAGCATGCACTACAGGTGTTGCAATTTTCTCGACGTATAAATGGTTAAGTGAGAGAAGAAGGAGACAGAAAAGCTCTGTCTATGAATCACAGAAATTGCTGAATGAATACCTAGTTTTCCACTACGGAGCCAGAGGAGAAGTTCTGAAATATGACTTTGGACCCAAAGAAGCCCTTGACTTTCCTAAAAGATGTGCTGACATGTGTTTAAAACATTGTAAAGGATTTGGCAAGGTATACGGATAGGATTTAATAATTTAATTGTGGTATCATTTACTGTAGACCTACATGTACTGTATGTTATTTACTATCTCTGTTTGACATGTTAGAGCTTGACCATATTTGCAATTTGGATATTTTTTTAAATGTCAAAGACTAATGCATTGAATGCGCTTATAGCCAGGGATAAACAATTTTTGATTCCACACTTTTCAAAAGTTATTCATCTAATGGAGTGCCGTGGTAACCATTTCACTCTAAATACATGTGTTTTACTATATTTTTGTTTTTTTTTTTATCAGCTCATCAAGGAAAATCATTTCACTTTTCATGTATATTGCAGAGTAAGACTCTAAGGCGAGCACTGGACATTGGATGTGCAGTCGGTCGATCATCATTTGAACTGGCCCATGAATTCCAAGAGGTCATAGGGATTGACTACAGTCAGTCCTTTGTAGATGCTTGTGAGCACATGAGGGACCTTGGGGAGAAAGTGTACTTTGTACAAGATGAAGGAGATCTAGTCACCCCTCTTGTTGCCAGAGTGCCACAAGACATTGTAAGAATTTTATTTTATCTCTTAACAATAAAATTTTGATAACATGTGTTAGAAAATGTGAAATCCCTGTATTTTCTTTAATTGTTATAACTATATATGCTTGGGAAATTTAACCAGTGACACAAACTTTATACTGAGTTATTAATTACTCAAAAATAAAAGTTAATAACAACAATTCTTATATTCATTCCTAGGAAAAAGCTAGGTGTACCTTTGAGCAAGGTGATGCTTGTGGCCTTCGACATGACCTTGGATCATTTGGGTGTGTTTTGGCGGCAAATCTGATCTGTCGTTTACACTCACCCTTTGACTTCTTGCATCGTCTAACAGAGTTGGTGGCTCCTGGTGGAATACTTGTCATTACATCACCTTACACATGGCTGGAAGAATTCACAGATAAAGTAAGCAATGTCAAATCAAAAGCTCCCTCTTTTAAAATTCCTTCATTATACACAGTCATAAATCTGTGATTCTGTAGAAGTGGAAACTTTAACGACGTAGAAACGTTGACAAAATTGACGAATGGCTAAATATCATCGTCAAAGTTTGCACTCGCCAACTTTCACATTTTGTTAAAGAGCTCTATTAAATACTATTAGATCATCATAGTTTTCACTCACCATATTTCTAAAATATCGAAATCGTCAAACTTTCAACCCTTTTATAAAACCATGTTTACAGTATATTATTTAATATTTCCATTTCTATTTGTTTTCTCTGTGATAACTCTTTGAAAATTAGTTGAGTTGATTTCTTAATCATTCTACCGGAATGTAAATTTCACCAAGCGAAAGGTCAGGAGCTAAGAAGGCCTAATATGCATGTGAATCTCGTGTGGCTGTCTTTGTGGGTGGGGACTATTGAAATTGACATGTGAGGCCTGGTGTAATTTAAATCTATTAGTCTACATTTTTAAAATCTAAATTTACAATTTTATTTCACAATGAAATGGAAATATAAGGAATCACTGTCTAGTTAGTAGAGTATGCCAGGGACATCAATGATAGTTGGAAACGTGGGATAATTTATGCATAACGGGCTTTGCCCGTTATGCAAATTTTCCCACGTTTCCAACTATCGTTGATCCCCTGGCATACTCTACTAACTAGACAGTGATTCCTTAATTAAATGAAAAGTAAAATGAATATGTATATTCTTAATATTTAAAAAGATGTTTGGATAAATGTTTGTAAGGACATAGATTCTCTTTGTTAGAATTAACATCATTTAATTTTTCATTTACATACAATAGATTTGGAAGAATAACAAGTAATTGGAATTAATTAAATGCATCTTTGTAAAATTAATTTACTGTACAGTATTAATTCCCTTTTAAGCTTTAACTTTAAATGCATCACTATATTGTAATCTGATAATAAGGTCTTTTCCTTTTATGTAATGAATAGATTTGAGATGAATAAAAAGAATAAACTACTAGAGTATTACTTTTGATAGCAATCAGTTACAAGTATGAATACATTGTTTGTACATGTACTGATAATGATCCGTGTTTTTTCAATATTTTGCAGGAGAATTGGATGGGAGGATACAAAAAGAATGGGCAGGTAGTGACAGGATTCTCTACCCTCAAAAAAGAACTGGGACCAAATTTTACTTTAGTGGAGTCGTGTGATATGCCTTTCTTCATCCGTGAAACTGCCAGAAAAAATCAGTGGACCGTAGCACACTGTACTGTGTGGTCTAGAAAACACAACTGAACAAACTCTATGTGATAGACAAGTGCTTTACTCTATGTGTTTAGAATTATTCCTTTTCTCTCAGACCTCAGTCTTTTGTGTATCTAAAGTCCTCAGAATTTTGTGCTAACTATATGCACAGAATCAAAACGGAAAATAAGTGTGATAATTGACAGAATAGTTTGGAGTGAAAATTTATATTGTTTTTATATAAGGCTGTTGACAGCAAGCTAAAGATCTCTATATACTGGTAGTAGACTTAATAGAATTATCCATATGAAGTATTACAAATGAGTTAAATTTCTGTATCTCAAACATTGATATCTGATAATCTCAGATACCATTGATGTGTTGAAGTGAGTTGGAAGTCCCAGGAGTTCTTTATGTATTTTATCCTCTGTGAAGTTTTCCTTGGTCCCATAATTTTGAGATATTAAAGTATGACTATATGTTAGGTGTATTTTTGTCCATATTAATAAAGAAATTAAAAATTAAATACCCCCAAAAATTACATTTTGTAATCAAATGGCAGCATCTAACAATATGTCAAATCTGTTTCTATAATCCTATAAACATGTGTTCTTATCATTTTATGTAATTCTATTGAGAAAAAAAAATAAATTTGTAACTGTTATACAGACTTTTTAATTCTTTTAGTAAAAATTGTAGTTTGGGGGTATATTGGAAGCAACATGTCCCCATTTTTGTTCATCTGTAGACTTTTTTCTGGAGATGATCTCTGAAACTACAGTATGTAGAATTTTTTTTAAATCTTCTTAGAAGTAATATGTAAGATTTGAACTTGTGCAACTGTTATTTTCTGATTGATTTGTCAAAATTAAAAAAAAGTTGTAACTCTTTATTAGGTCACCTGAGTCACTCAGATGATGACCTATCGTTATCTCTTGTCATCCATCATGCGACGTGCATTGTGTGTTAACATTTGTACAATTTCAGCTTCTTCTGTGGAAGGACTGAACCAATTTCAACCAATTTTGGCATATAGCATCAACAAAAATTATGGAATTCATTGCCCCCCCCTCCCCGGGAGTACATAGTCTAGTTGGTAAAGGACTGCAGAAAGTTGTTTAATGTTATATACCTTGTTATAGTGACCAAGTGATCAAAGAGAGGCATTGTGACCTGGTGACTAGGGGGCATGTTGTAGTTTGCGACAAGTGGCAAATAGCCACATTGTATAGCCAAGTGCTGCTAACAGGTATTACCTGGTAAGCAGCTAAGTTGTTTGTGCTAAGAGGCTTCACTTCCAGTACCCGGTAAATATACAGGCATTAGAGATTTCTCTTTGTGTACTTAATTGTAGCACTAGGCCATGAAAAAAACATATCTGTATCTTTTGAATACATTACACACTAGGCAAGTGTCCATTGTATTTGTATATTTTGCATTCATTATTTTCCTTGTAAGACTTGGGACAAACCAAATATGATCCCAAGGAGATCGCTTGAGCCTCGCACAATTACAACAGGGTATTTTTACCTTTTTTTATTTTTTGTAATATTAATGCTTCTATGGATCCTTTACAGTGTTGTATTTTACTCGGGTGACTGTTAAGGCCCTTGGGCCTTTTGTTACATAAACTTCTTTGTCAGGAAAAAGAGGAGTGAATTTCTTGTCTAGGCATAACTTTGTAAGAAAATTCAGAAACTCATACCTTGTAAAAGTTTTAAGAAGGAGTGAATTTTTTTTCGAATATACTACAGTTGCAAATAACGCAATGATTTTTTTTTCTACACTTCACATTTACCGTGATACGTATCATTGGTATTATTACGTGACAAAGATCCAGGGTATCGATGCACGTGAAGTCTGTACATCCTTTTTTATCAGCATTCAACCATTCATAATTAATAATTTTAGATATTTGTTGCATTTGTCTTTGAATCAAATAATATGATGATAAAACATCCCTATTCTTTTGTCAGTTAACATTTGATCACTGAAAATTAAAGTATAAAAAATGCAGAGAAAAGTAGCGCAAGTGTTCAGTTTACAACAAAAATGTATCATATTCTTTTTCTACTTTGACATTTTTTCTTTGGTCTCTTTCTCGTGGAAATACTTTAAAATGCTAAATATAGTTTTGCGGGCGGCCGATTTGATGTTTTGCATCAATTTAACTTGTCAGCTGTTTTGGGCAATACACACAGTGTGGACTGCGGAAGACTATGACATGTCAAACGTTGCAGTATTCGATCTTTTCCATTTGTATTATAGCATTTTCCATTTATATTCTATAATTTTCCAGTGGCATTGTATAATTTTCTATTTGTATTGCATAATGATTGTTTGTATTCTGTAATTTTGCATTTGTATTCTTTAATGTTTCATTTGTATTATACAATTTTCATTTGTATTGTAAAATTTTTATTTGTATTCTATAATTTTCAACTTGTTTCTATAAATTTCTATAAAATATTTGTATTGTATAATTTTCCATTTGTATGGTATAATTCTCATTTGTATTATATACCTTTCCATTTGTATTGTAAAATTATACAATACAAATGGAAAATTATACAATACAAATTGAAAATTATACAATTCAAATGGAAAATTATACAATACAAATGAAAAATTGTAGAATACAATGGGAAAATTATAGAATACAATTAAAAATTATACAATACAAATGACAAAATATACATTTGTATATTTACAATTGTAATCCCCATGAAAAAATATACAATTCAAATGGAAAATTATACAATATAAATGGGAAATTATACAATGCAAATAAAAATTATACAATACAAATAAAAAATTATACAATACAAATGGTGAATTATTAAAAAAAAATAATAATAAAAAATTTACAATGCAAATGAAAAAATATAGTATACAAATAAAAATTTTATAATGCAAATGAAGAATTTTAGAATAAAATGAAGAAGTTTACAATACCAATGGAAAGTTATACAATACAAATGGAAAAGATCGAATATTGCAACGTTTGACATGCCATAGAAGACGACACATCGATGTTCTTAATAAGTACTATATTCTAATGTGAAAAATTCATTTCAAGTGTACAGGTTTGATATGTGATTCTGATCTGATAATATTTTGATGACGTTCGTGATTTATTAGAGAATAATGCCCGCAGGATTTCTTTGATCTCGGCAATAACTGAAGTAGAATTGAGCATAATCTAAACCTGGTGCATTTGTGATGACTTCCCATGGGTTTACTTTATTGCACCAAACCAAATTCATTTCTTAAGTACAGAAGTCTGTACAAATCAGACAGAAGGTGAATCACGAGGGTTCTCATAATTCGATGATTTTCCACACATAGGTTTCTGTTGCACTTTGAATCACGTATGCACAAAGAAAAAAAAAACCTGGGCCATAGTTACTATGGAAACATGGCTAATAAAATTTCCCTAGCAATTGGTCAGTTTTTAATTGTGATCGACAAAAAATCACCTATTTTTAGGGTTTGAAATTGATTGTTAATATAATAAAATTTTTATAATTTTTTTCTGTTATTGTAAAGATAATCATTTAAAATGTTTTCCAAATGCATGGCATAGAAATAAGATTTCAACGTATGTCTGTGGTTGAGCGTGATATAATAAAGAAAGTAAAACATAACATAAGGAAATTATAAATCATATAAATTTTTATCTTTGAGTTTCAAATACCTATAAGATTTAAAGAAAGAAAATTTATCTGAGACTGCTTTGCAAACCAAAGAATATTGTACAAATACTTATCTCCATGTCAACAGCAAATTCCTCATATCAACAAAGCAAATAATCTTACTTTTTGCTTTTATTCAATTAATCTTTTAGACGATTAAATACAGTTTGTCATATAATTGTGATTAAACAAATATACTGATATGTATAATTGGGACAAGGCCATCCTTAAAAAAAAGTTTGCTTGCCCTCACAAAAAAATGGGTAGGTAGATAGGGAAAAATATTTTTCAGAAGTTTTCAACATTTGATTAATAAAAACAAGCTATTTCAGAGAATTTGTGTCCCCCGCTTAGGGAAAAAGAAGAGCATGCGCAGTTCGGGGGGGTCACACTACCTCCCCTGTATTTGTAGAATTATTAAATGTATACATGCATATTGAAGCAAATTTAAAGAAATGCCAATATGGATATAAAGATTTCATTGCTTATTCTTTAATATGTGTATAGAAGATTATTTTTAATATACAGAATATTTATCACACTGTAATAATGATTTTATGAGTTTGTACACGCCAGACATCATAACTTTTTCATTTCACATGTTGAATAGTATCATTAGTAAATCCAAAAATAAAAAAAAAAAGAAAAAAAAAAAGAAAAGAGAATTGTCCGGGGATCGAACGCGTGCCTCTCTCTTGCTAAGCGAGCAACATACCACTAGACCTCGGAGGCACTTGATTATAAAGCTTAAATGCAAACATTAACTCACATATAATGTTTATATTGACGTTTGATATTGTCAAAATTTTAATCAATACATGGTGTCTAATTTAGCCTTTACTAAACAGTTCTAGTAGATGTAATAAGAATATAATGTCTGCCGACAACCTGTATTATACGTAATAACTCTCCACAAGCCCCGTGCTAAAAATAGTGCCATGCGACTTTTAATACAATACATGTAAATAGTAATTAAAAAACGGGGCGGGACACTTTGAGACGGGTGAGAGAGGCCCTAGGGAGTTATGGTATAAAATTTCATTGCAAAAGCTCAAAAGCCTCTTGAGATATCGCCCGGAAACAAAAGTGTTACACACAGAAGGAATGTATAAATCTACGACCTTGAACTCTGACCTTTTGACCTCAAAATCAATAGAGGTCTTCCTTAGGCCACAGTGAGTTGTGTAAAATTTCATTGCAAAAGTTCAAAGGATTCTCGAGATATCGCGTGGAAACGAAAGTGTTAAAACAGACAGAATTTATGAATTTATGACCATTTGACCATTTGACCTCAAAATCAATAGGGTTCTTCTTTAGGCCATAGGGAGTTGCTATGCAAAATTTCATTGCGAAAGCTCAAAGGGTTCTCGAGATATCGCGCGGAAACGAAAGCGTTACAGACAGACAGAAATACAGCTTGACGGACGGACGGACAGACCAAATTAATATCCCCCACTTTAAGTGAAAGCAGGGGACAAAAATATCGTTTATATACTGGAGGTTCAAAAAAGTTTTGAGTCGTGTCATTTTAATCAGTCGGTCGGGAGAGGGCAAACGAGCAATTTTTTACAAATGGCCCAAAACTTGCTTAATAGAAGTGTTTTATCTCGGTTGTTTTTTTAAACACGAGAATCTTATTACAGCCTACACTAAACAAGAAAGATTTGTTAAACTTCACCCAGAGACGAAATTTCCACGGTTTCTGGGATGTTGAAAATCAGATGGGTATTTCACAGACACCAAAACATGTCTGGAAAGAAGTGAAAAATGTGGTTGACCTGAGAGAGATAGAGAGAGACTCTTAAGGAAGAAGGAAACAGTGTCAAAGAGACACTTATAAAAATGACGTGCAAGAAACAGCGCTGTTCAAAGATATTTAAAAGAAATAGGAAGTATGTTGATTTTTTAAAAATATAAATATAAGTGCATATGCAAAATATTCAAAATTCGGTTTTCTCGGTATCGTTTT